TTCACTGTATTATACTTTAATGTGTATTTTCATCCACACTGCATGGGTAGTTGTCAGCTACATATAGAAAATAGGCAGCACGATTAATTTCAATTGTATATTTAAATACTTGGTATTGTATTGTTATTTTTCATCAGATAATTTAAATTAGATAGGTATGAGTTTTCAAGTTATATTCAAAGTGAAGCAATGTGCCCCTGATAAAACAAAGTAAAGGCACTTAGCATGTGTTCGCCTAGTTAAGATTCCCTCTCAGCAGTAATACAATGTTTCTAAGTGTCTGCTGGAAAACAAGTGGAAGGTCAAGAACATGAACAATAGATGTTGATTCCAATTATGTGTAAAGCATTGAACAAGATGCGCTAATGATGGCGTTGTAGGGAGAAAAAAGGTGTTTATGTGCTACTCTCCCAAAGCCTGTGAAACAGTTTATTAAGCAAAGGCTTTATTTCCATAAAGGCTGATAAGACTTCAAATGATTCACTGAAAAACAGTCCTGGCATCAGCACAGCAAAGCGGCGTGTGTATTTATCTCTCCCGACGTTGGGAGACAATCAAGACAAAGATGATAGCACATTTTGAAATGCAGCACAGAGACATAATGAGATTGCAGCTACTTCAGGAACAAACCAGACAAAATGTTTTTTTTTTCTTTTTCATAAATGACTCCTTGTTTTATTCACACGCACCAAAAAAGGGCCATCGTTTTCAATTAATGAAGCAGGGAATTGAGTCCGAGGTCCTGCGGGATATGGATTAACTACGATGGCTTGAGGGCCCAATCTCACACTGAGTCTGTGCTGTGGTACTGCGTGGAAGAATTTTTCATTGAAGCCCCCCCCGCTACCTCCTACTTCCAACTCATCCATCCATTCCTCATCCTAAGGTGAGTTGCTTCAGTGCAGACCGCTATTAGTGGTAGGGGGAGATAAAACTCTAAGTGTTGCTCCCAATTAGTGCATCAGTGACCGCTCTGTGCCTCCTCCACGGCGAAGCCTGCGAGGAAGGAAGGAGGAGAGAATGAAAGATGGGAGGAAAGGATGGAAGGAAAAAAGAGAATTGTGTGAAGATGATGGCCGTGGAAAGGAATAAAAGAAGTGAGCTGGTTAAAGAGCTAGCGAGATAAAGACAAGACAAGAGATGAAACAAAGTGAGGATAGAAGAGAGTGAGTGGCGGTGGTGTAGGTGGAGGCGGAGGGAGACAGAAAAGTGACTAAAAATGGCTTAACCATTCATTTTGAGTGGCGAGACAGGTCCTATTAACATTTAACAGCGTTTGCGCAACTTGGTGTGGAGGTTAGGATGCAAATGAGGAGGAATTAAAACTGGCCAGAGGTTTGTCATTGATGGATTGCAGTCTGGCGGTACTCACCACTTCCTAGTGTCCATCACAGACGATTACTGTATAATTAAACCTTATTTCTGGACTCTCCGATGCATAATTACTTGTGTGGGAATGTAACCATCATCTAAAAGCTCCAGCAAAATGCTTTAGCATTTAGTCTGGCAGGCTGCAGTCATTTCACAAGAGCAGCTAGACAGATAGAGCCATCTGATGATCGGCAAAAGAACAGTCACTTTTAATAAGAGGTGGGAAAAAAAATATTAGGCGACAGTGTGCTGATTATAGGAAAATTAGGCTTTCAACTGGTAAAGTCCTTTGTGTTATTTGCATAATTTATTCCAGCTTTACCCCCGTTCAATCGCCTCCGATTTTTTTTCTTTTTTTGTGAGCTGTGGGCAATTTCCTCTCATATTTGAATAGATTGCACATTTAAGACTACTTAAGGAAAATGATCACTTAACATATTTTAATTGTTGTGCAAAAGACTGAGCGAAGGTGTGAGGCACAGCTTATGGAGGGAGGAGGACCTTTAGAAAATGAAGAGGACAGTGTTTTGGCAGATAACCTCGGGGTACAAACGCACACACTGGAAGAATGTAAACCTTGAAATTGTGAGTAAAGCTCAAGTCCGGCTGCTGGACTTAATTTTCCAATAACGTCCCCTGCTGATCAACCATAGCGTCATAAATACGGGTTATTTCTTTGTGTCCGAAAAATCAGATGGGGAAATAGATGTATATACGTCATGAATTATTTATGATCATAGCATGTATAGCATGTGCCAAAGTGGAAAAATAAAGAAAACGGCACCCCTCGATGTACTTTAACCTTGTGACGTGTTCGAGTTTTCAGAGATAATTACGGAGGCTACGCGGCAGCTTCCCACACTTCACCAGTAGCTATATAATGACACCTAGGAAACATAGTGGGTAAATGCGCATCATTTTCTTTAAGAGCACTCACATAATCCAAATTCTTTGTGATGGAGAAACATAATTAATGCTTTAATGTTTTGGTCTAGCCACTCTTAGCATAGCAAGAGAAATGAATTGTTACATTTTAATGAGAGAAGCGACAGCGCTGGCTTCCTGTGCAACACGGATGATTTTATAATTGCACACAAGGGTGACTAACACAAGGCTCATTAAGGCAATTTTTCAGCTGGGCTATTTTTTGGCAGGACAATACATTTATTTTTCCATTTTACTGATAAATAAATTCAGTTATTACTTTACGCTTCCAATAAAAACAATAACAACAACAAAAAAAACGTATACAAGCTGTAATCTCCCAAGAAAATGTCTTTAATGAATTGTTTGTTGCTGCTTGTATCTCAGATTACATGAAAATACATTTAAGTTGACTGCAAGTATGGCAACATATTCACACATATAAACAAGTGGTGCATTTGTATTGTATGTATAGATATGTACAACAGAAACACATTACACTCTGTTTTAAAGTTGTGCAAGTGTGTTATATATACTAACAATTTATAAAATTTAACACACTAAATCAAAAAAAAAAATTAAATAAAAAGAGTGTGCCCATGTATATACACATTCACACGCGCACAACCACAGTACTTCACAGAAGATTAAAGCAAATGTATTGGATTATACATTTCCAGGTCACGTTTAGGTTGACCCCCAACCGTTCCCCCGCCCCCTTTACGAATCGCTTGCGTGTTTTCACATCAGTTTCATCATGAGTGTGTGTCTGTCTCAGAGAGGACACGTGGTAACACACACAAACGCGCACATGCACACTAGGCTATGCTGCAGCCTCCGGTTGCACCATCAGCTAAATGTTTTTAAGTACAGTCATCTGAGGTAGACTGCGCAAAACTTCATGGTGTTATTCTTTCCTCCTTTTTTTGTCTTTTTTTTAAAATACATTTTCCACAAATGTCTGACATTTGTAAAAGATCTAAATCAAATACCACGTGTGTTTTGTAGCCATGAGGTAGAAATGCTTTAAAGAAGAACTCTATTTAAAGAAAGGAAAAAAAGGGGAAAAGATCAGCACATCATGGAGAAAAAGACATGAAAAGAGGACCCGCTAAACACGCAACAAACAAAGCGTAGCATTGACCAGTGTGTTTCAAGTGGTTTGTCGGTCGGCTTGTGGAGAATGGCTAGGGATAGAGAGAGAGAGGAGGAAAGGCCTGTGCTACTGTTGTGTGCTGTGAAGTGCATTAGTAGGTTTTTCTGTCCAAAGGGACTCTCTCTCCAGAGGATTTGCTGACAGAAGGAATTCTGGTACAGATTGTTTTGAGGGTGGTTTTCTGACGGACCACTCTGCTTTCCCCCCTTGTGCTGCTGCTGCTGCCACGCTGCCTGTCTGTCTCTCTTTTCCATCAGTTTGCTGATGCTCAGCAGAACTCCCCACCCCCACCCCACTCCAGGTGCTGAACTGATGGTGCCTACGAGATAGCGACACAAGGCATACACAACAAGCAGCTCGTACCTTTGGGATATTTTTCTTATAGAAAAATCAGGAGGTACGATAAAAAGGGTAAGACTGATCAGCGGTTTAGATAAATAAAACACCAACTAAATAAGTGCTGTCAATGCCGTTGAGAAATTTCAACAAACACCCCCCCCCCAGATTACACACAAAACGCTTTAGTGCACGTGCAATAGACTTAAGTAGTCCCATGCCACAACAGCTCCTTAAACGGTGGCGAGGAAGAGACAAAAATACATTCCAACATGATACAAAGGGAAACAGATATTGTTCAGTGATGTAGGTCTTCAAAACTACTGCCAAAATTCCCCACTCATGTTAAACAGTAGGAACTCAAATGTATGTAGATCGTGCGCTTCATACCATCTTAGTAACTTTCAAAAAGAAAGACAATACGGATACAGGAAAAAAAAGCGCTGACATTGTTTAGAATTGATTTGTTTTTCTGGGGTGGTCATCTTAGATTAAAAAAAAAAAAAAAAACAGAATAAAACATATATATTCCAACTGCATATACCTCCTGGCTGACCGTATTATGGTTATGACATCTGCCGTGCAACCGAATTTATTTCTTTAAATTTCTACTTTCCACATATGTAATTTACATGAGTGGCATCTCATTCAGAAGCTAATCGAGTTCAAATACAGCTAAACATGGTAAGCTAGTTTCCCTAGATGTGGATTAAGCCTAAAAAACTAACTTTTTTTTTTAAATCAATGAAGATGAAGAATTTGTTTTTGTCTATAGCTAAGCGTCATCTGTGTCTTGGAAACTGAGCCAGTGTTTAACAAGGGGAAATTCCTACAAACGTATCTATGATACCAAAGTCCAAATGAAATCATTGTGTCATCTTCTACAGCACAACTATCTCTCAAATTAGATTTTTTTGTTGTCTGTCCCCAAAAAACGTCAAAGTTGGTAACATTGCAAAAACTGTAACCATGTTCTTATATTTCACTTCTTATTTAATTTCATTTTCACAATGAAAAATAGACTTACTATTAATTTTCATTTTTTATTTCAAAATAAACACCAGTAATTGTTAAAGACCTCAATAAAATATAGCAAATAAAGCAATAATGCAATTTTTGTAAAATGTTGCACCTATACAGGTATGATATGACCCATGTTTTCATAGTGCTCCTATTTTAGTCACAGCATATTGTTACAATGTCTGATTGGTTGTATGAGCACGTTCTGTTCTTTTAATGATATCAAAGTTAAAAGTTAATTTAAAAGCATATTTATATATGACATTTGTTAATACTGCAAAAAATAACTAAATATGATTTCAGTTGGACTCGGTAAGGGCAATATCCAAGCCTCGCTTTCTTGATGCTGACTGACAAACATGCTTTCCTCAAAACCATGCAAGACCAAGTCAAACAATAATGTAATACCCACACAAAAAGACAGTATTTTTTCTTTGATATCACTGATATTTTGGAGAAATACAGTTATTTGTTCTCTTTATGAAAGATAGCCAAGTCTACAAACATTTGCCCGTTAGCTTAGCATTGCAAAATCCCTGCAAAAACACTGCTAAGTGTTTAAAAAGTTAACTGGTTAACTTTAACATGCTGCAGTCTAACAGGCTAACATATTTTATGCCAAGCTAACGTAAACAGCTGTTGGTACTAGCCTGATCTCTCAGTTAAAAAAGCAAATAAGTATATTTATATGAAGAATGATTCCTTCCATTTAAGTTCATCAAGATCAGAGAATACCTCGCTTAATGTATGATGAATATTTTGCACAGGAGTTAGCTGATAACTGATGCGGTTCCATGCAGCTAAACCATATAGCCTAGATCATGTATTATAGACAATGTTGATTATGGTTGTTTTAATTAATGTACAACTCCCACCACCCCAACACCTGCCCATCTTTTAAAACCCCAAAACAACACAGTTTTATATTTTGAAACAGCAATGGGAATAAGCTCATAAGGATTGGTCAAGTAGAAACAGGTAACTAAAGCACCTGCAGTGAGGGGGGGGAAAGGACAAAATCTTTTTACTCTCACTATAGAATATGTTCCACGAATCCAGAACACATTTAGTACATTCATTGCCACCTCTTTGCTATTTAGCCTAGTCTTTTGAGGTACACCTAACACTGCCAGATTCTCCTCTCAGGTCTTAGTGCTTTTCGTGAAGATGTCTTGAGGTACTGTACAATTCACAAACGCTTTCCTGAGTGTTGGTTGTTTGTTTGTTTGTTACGTTTGCTTGTTTTGCAGACACAGGATCAGAAACATGGGTGAGAGTCAGGGGCCCAGGGTACTGCAGCCCAAATGGATTTCTGCTCTTAGTAAGACAATAAAGGTCGATTGACCACCACCCAATGGTGACTGTCAGTCTGGGTCTTTCAGACATGCCGCTGAAGTTTTTAAAGCTCTTAATAATTATCAGCTCATGCCATGAATGTAGATTGTGAGGCAAATAAACAAATAAACTCAGAAAGCACCACTTCAGGCACTTGGATAGCCAACTAAATCTCAAGAACAACAACATAACAATATATACACAGACACTGGGGTGTCCTGTCTGAAGCCAACTTGCTTGCAATGTGTAAACAATCCCTGGCTTTCTGGAGTGTCGAGCATTCAAATTAAAACTCTTGTTCATTAACTGCAAAATTGTCAGTTGTCTCATCAAAGCGACTCTCTTGGTGCATCTAAACCCTGCTTGTGAGAGCTTGTGTTGGCCTTTTGTGTGCCTTTCCCCTTCAGCACAATGCTTCTGCCCTGAGGGGAGGAATTGTGGAAACCTCTTTTTCTCAAGGGCGGGATCTATCTTTTCACTGACTGCAACCAAACATTTTGTTCCACTCAGTATAAGTGTCAATCTCTTTCTGCGATATACTTGCTTGGAATTTACAAAAGACACTCTCAATGTCCTGGTAGGTGAGGGGCCTGATTTGTCCCCTGGGCATCATACCAGTCATGTCCACGCCCTGTGCAGAGACATGTAACAGGCCTACAAGAGCCTCCTGGCAGAGTCTGGCCAGATCCAGTCCTGAGAAACCATCTGTACGCTGGACCAGCAGCGCCAGCTCCTCCTCGCTCAAACAGTATTTGTGCTGAGATTGGGCCAAGAGCTGGTTCATGATCTGGTGTCGAGCTGCGCTATCCGGCAGAGGCACCAGGACCCTCCGGGAAAAGTACCTGCGCAGTCCTTCATCCATATCCTGTGGTCTGCTTGTGGAGCAAACCACCAATACTTGGTTGCCTCCATCCTCGCCCGAGCCCATAAGAAGTGAGTCTAACTGGGCTAGAAGTTCACCTTTAAGTCGGTTGATAGGGCTCTCTTCACTGAGGTGGGCCGACAAGAGCATGTCCACTTCACTAATAAACAGTACTGAGGGCTGCCGGCACCGTGCCACTAGGAATGATGCTCGGATGATTTTTTCTCCATCCGCCAGCCACTTTGTCGCCAGTGTTGAGCCGCTGAGCTGTAGGAATGGTGCTCCCAGCTGACTGGCCAGGCAACGTCCCAGCAATGTCCTGCCACTGCCTCTGGGGCCAAACAGCAACACACAACGTGGGGATGGTCCTAAACTGCTGAACATGTCTGGACGCAGAATGGGCCACAGGACCTCTTCCTTCAGGGTAGCCTTGGCAAGTTCTAGACCTGCAATGTCACTCCAATCCACTGGGGGCCCCTGCTGTACAATTTCAGAGGTAACCATGTCCAGGAGGTGAGGATCACTGGTTTTTAGTTGTTCTTCAGCAGGCCGGGAGTTGGAAGTGGATGAGGAGGAGGTAGGTCCAGGTGCTGAGTGAGAAAGGTGGAGACGGTGGTCTTCAGGACCTTGCTCACTGAGGGAGGGGGTGGTAAAGCTGGGAATAGAGTCTGCTGAGCGGGAACCCCCCAGGGTGGAGGAGACGTAGGCTGGTGGAGTCAGAGGCCCACCAGTTGCCTGGCTGCTGTACTTCCTCTGCTGCTCTGATGCAATGGTGGATTGTTTCTGAGGATTAAAAGTTAAAGATGACTTCTCAGCACTCCTGTCAAACCCACCACCACTGGCACTGTTGGAGCCTCCGTTTGTACTGCTGCTATCTGCTACCCTGTACATGGGACTCTCAGCTGAGCTCCTTGCCTGACTGTAGCCAAAGTTACCATAAGAGGGGTCTATCTCTCCTTGACCTGTCATGTAGAAGGCTTTCCTCTTTAGTGAGTTGGAGGAGCTACTGTTGAGAGGGGTTGGGGCAATTGGGGTCAGGTTGTGGCTCTGGTATGGGTATCCAGGTAAAGCAGAAGAGGGAGCAAGGGGTGTAGGTGCAGCAATGCCTGAGGGAAGGTACGAGGAGGGAGGGGGGGCTCCTCCAGGGCTATATCCTGGCCCTACTGAGTTTTGAGCTGGGTAGCCTGCTGGGGGGTAATTATAACTAGACAAGTTGGGGGAGCCTCCATTGTAAGCTGGGACTATAGTGGGGTGGGAGGGTGGAGGAGGAGGTGGTTGCAGTAGCCCAGAGCTGTGCAGTGGAGATGGAAGTGCTGGGGCGGGGGTAGACTGGGAGCTGTAACTGCTGTGCAGGTACGAGCTGCTGTACGCTGGGCCATATTCCTGAGAGGGCATGGAGGAAGAGTGCAGGGCAGTTGCTGTGTGGCTCCCACAGCTACTGCTGGAGTAGCTGGGCTCACTCAGGGTGCTGGAAGCCAGGCCCGGAGAGCTGCACATGCCAGACACCACCTCTGAAGCTGCCGCAACCCCCCCTTTCCTGACGGAAATGCCCTCTGGGATGCAGCTCATGGGGTAGACACCATCCTGCCAAGGCTCAGATTCACCTTTCCGTCCATTCATCACTCCTGGGACACCAGGCGTCTCCGAATATGAGCCCGGCATGTCCAGAATACCAGAGTACTTCTCAGCGTACTTCTTGAGCAGGTTGGAGGCAGTGAGTGCCGAGATGTCGTCATTGGCCCAGGCATATTGGTAGGTGGCCGAGCGCTGCAGGTGGCCAGGTACTGCCCTGTATGCCTCAGCCTTGTGGGCTGGCGAGCGCGTGGTGGACGAAATGTCGAAATGCTGTTCGGCCCACTGGCTGTGCTCGGGGGTCCACTGCATCTTTACGCCTGAGGAAAAAAAGACAGAGATGCGTTAACACACTGTCAAGCTAACATCATTTTAACAATAATTAAAACTGTCCAAAAAGGTGATATTTGTCCAGAGGCGTTTGGTGTGTTATTTGGTGTGTTATTATGGATTTGCATCCAACTAATCAAGATTTGTTAAACCCTACAGCTCACAAGGACTCTGAGAGAGCATCAGCAGGTAAAGTGCGGTACAGAGAGACGCTGGGATGGCTGGTTACGGCAGCCTAATGCACCCTGGCCAGACCAATAAGACAGAGGCATTGAGGGTCACTCTATAATCCCCGGCTCATCTGAAGAGGCTGGAGATGGGTTTGAAAATGCGCCTCGCCGAGTGCCACAAAGCAACACACACACACAAACACACACCTCTGCTTGTGGTACTTTCATTCAATACACACTTAAAGACAAACCTGTGCTCAGACACACAGGCGTTTAAAAAAAAAAAAGAAAAAACATCTATGCCTGCACTCCGGCGTGCAGACGTCCATGAGCACACGCGCACGCACGCACATCCACTGACCCAGACAGACAAACACAGGCACACACGCAGGAGCTGTAGCGAGCTATGAATTACAACACATTGTGTCTCAAGCTTAGTTCCTTTCTGCACAGCTCCACCTTGACCTCTCTCTCTCTACCATTCTCTTTACCATTCTGTCTGCCTCTTCTTCATGCCTCCCTGCTGCCTTGTTTTCACTCTCAGCCTCTCTCCTCTTTGCTTTTGTTTGTTATCCATTTTCCACCTCCCCTCCTGCTAGATCTGTCTTTATTTCTCTTCACCTCCTTTTATTCAGACTCCATCTATTTCGATATATATCTCCACTTTTCACTCCCTTTCTTCGAAGCCACCCCTCCTCTTATTTAGTCCCTCTGTGCTCACTTCGCCTCCCTCCCCTTCCCTCCTTCCTTTGCTCCTTCTCATCTCAGACATACTCACCTGGCTCTCCCCTTTATTGCCTCAGGAGGCTGGAGAGCCACTGTTTCCTTTAATCCCAGCCAATGCCATCTGCAAACACTGACAGTCACACAGTGGCTCCATCGTTGTCTCACTATCAAAGCCGTGGCACTATCAAAGGCTGGACTGGGCGTAATCACAGCAGCCGCACAGCAGATTGAACCCTGTTTGATTTGACTTAGTGCACACAAATAAAGGATAATATCGGTGTCATTTAAGCTACTTCCTCCGACTTATTGACTGGCAGCGGTTGCATGTAGAGACCCACAACTGGGGGTCTAGTAAGCAATCCCTGTTTCAAAATTGGTTTATGTGTGTGTTTTTGTGCTTGTGTGAATAAAGCCAGCACGCACAATAAAATGCATTCACGGAGGAGCAAATCTTCCCTTCCTCCCATCCATTTATGCTACTGCAAACACATAAACATGGGGGGAAAAACGCAGAAAGCAAGCACACACAAACAAATACACGTTCACTCTCTCTTGCTCTCTTTTCTGAGGCCCTGTGTTTGTTTGGTAACAACACAGGCAGGGGTGGGGGTGGGGGTATCCCTAGACTCCTATTTCCTCTCTGATTCTTCTCTCTAGCCATCTCTCAGCAGACGCCAGTGGCTAATTAGCAGAATGGCGATCTGCTAATTGTGTTAATTTACAACATTTTAGCCGAGGGGAGTCTTGCCGGGGCTGGCGTGCCCATCACCCTCCCAGTGTAGTGAGCAGGGAACACCTCAGATAGAGCTGGGCGAAGTTTTGTGCTAGCTAAGAGGCTCTTTTAATATTGAGAATATATTAAGTGAAGGCAGCAATATAAAAAGGACAGTATTTCTAAAAGGAAATTACATTTCCAAAAACAGGAGAAAATAAGAACAACGCTCTAGACAAAATTCAGATTTCACACCAGCAAAGAAACATTTAACAGATATTAAAAAAAAATGGCTGCACAACTGCCAAAGAGCACTATTTGCAAAGACAAAATGCTACAAAGTCACATTCCTCTGTGATGATTCCAATGCGTTCATACAGCAGTGTAACCATTTTAATCTGAGTAGCTCAGAGAGTCCACAGAAAAAAATTGTGTTTCCAGGAGTCCATCAGAGGGTGCAGTTTTGTTATTTTTCTTGTTATTTTGTCAGTAAGCCAGTGTCAATGAGTATTGATCAATCCTTAATAGAACAAGATCACTGAAAATATTAAACAATTCAAGGCTGCTCTCAAGCTTGTATTCTAAGCGTCATGTCTGATCCGTAGCCAGGAGCAAAAGACTGCACATAAAGTCTGTTTTGTTCCAACATTAACTTTTAAGCATTACCAAATAACTATAAAGCAGATATGGATGAGGACAACAGATTCAGCCATGTGTTCAACTATCTGTAAATACATGTATATATTTATTATTATATTATATTTATTATTATTTATTATAGACCTTTTCTTACAAACAAACTGTCCACTCCCCATCTGATTCAGGGGCTATAATCACTGTATATACTATCAGAGTGACTCTCCTCTCTGCAGTGGCACAGACCTACAGTGAAACAGCATTGCTGACACAGGGTGATTCTGCAGCGTGATTCTGCCACAGAAAAATCCACCTTCAGATGTTTCTTAAATGGGCATTCAACAGTGCTTCAGTTGAAGATTATGGACATAACATAATATTAATTTGGTATAGTGCAGAGCAAGTGGCAGCAAATGTTATAAATATATATTCTATGATATGACACATTCTTTTTAAAGAAATTAAAGATATCACACAATCTCTGTAATAGATGACACCATCTGGGCTGAAATAAACATTTTTCTATAAAAACTGAACAGAGGCTAACTATTGACATCTAGTATATATTCATATTAATGTAGAGAAAAAACTGTATTTTAAGGCTTTGGTTTTTTTTGTTTTTTTTTTTGCTTTATTGTTAATGCCTGAGTATATATGTTTAACTTTAGAGAAATTCTCATGTCCTCTTGCAGCCAGACAATAAGCCGAAGCACGAAAGCTACATCAAAAGAAAGTTAGCAAGAGATGACCCTGTTAACCTTAGCTATGAACAAAATAAAATACACATTTCAAATAAAATAAAAATCAACTTCAAATGTACACTCAAAACATTTTATTTTCTTAAATATTGCCATTCAAAAGGATCTTAATGTGCACTTGATACAGTAAAACAATCAAATAGGTATGAGCTATATCAAATAAAAGAGCTAGCCAAACTAGCATTAGCTAAGTTTTTCTCTAGCCATTATCATTTATGAATGCCACATCTCAGGTATAATATATCAATCACATATACATAAATGATAAATTGCCTTCTTTGTCAAAAAAAAGTAATGCATGCATTTTTACTGATGTAGTGTATGTGGTGAAACCCCCCCCAAAGAAAAACAACGCAGCTAGCAAAGCTAGTGTAGCTTAATAAGGTGCCACACCTTTGGTGTTGCTACTTTTTAATCACATTAATTAACATAATTTGAATCTACCTATTAGCAGAAGACACAGAGAGATGCTAAGTACTGAAAAAAACTGTTCATTTTCTCTTAGACTTATCTGTTGATGACATTTAGGTAATTTGGCGTACCTTTTTATCTAGCTGTGTTATTAGCTAAAATACTCCAGCTTATCTTATTACACAAAATAATTCAAAAGAAGGTGTGAGGATAGAAAGAAATAAGAGTAATATATAAAAATGTTGAAGGTAATAGAAATGAGGAATAAACACAAAAAACAAAGGCCTTCAAAGTCTTAGTCTTCACTCCCTGTAATCCGACATGCACCAAACTCTTATGTGCTCTGTTTAAAGAAACACGATCTTTCTAATACTGTCATTAATAAAGATAACATATATAAAAAGAGTATGTCAGGCTCCATCAGGGCTTTCATCTCTTCTATAATGAGGTTAATGCAGAGAAGCAGTGATTACCCTGCAATGCAAATGAAGGCCAAACGATAACTTGCACTATTTAAATAAGGTAATAGCGATTACGCTACGTTATTCAAATGAGGACGGATGCTTTGAACTGAGCACTTTGAACTTGCTGCTCCTTCTCCAAAACATATGGAAGAGATCGAGGAGGACTGACTTTGGTATCATTCAGGGGTGTATCCTTTAATTCAATGTGATGTAAACCAGGGGCAATGAGCAAAGCAAAGCGCCCTAATGTGATGGTGCAGGTGGGGTGGGGCCTTACTACATCCCTTTACTTGCTATGAATGACCTTGAAAGACATTGAAAGAAAGTCATTGAATTCATTGTCAAAGGGCGATTCAATATCCCTTTGTTATTAAAAGCATCACACATTCATTTTCACAAACAGTCAAGGCTCTTTTCTTTAAAATATAAAATTGTTCTGTTACTTGTGGAGCACAATTTGGCCTTTGGCTGCAGAGGCCTTCATTAAGGTTACAAGATTACATGCGTGGGGCCTCCGGCTTAAATATTTAACAAGAAATATTTCCATTCATTTGTTTTTGGTCTCGTTACAGCACTTTGATCGAGCTGCAAGGCTGCAGACCTGGCAGACATATTTACAGATCATTTGGACAGACACATGCAATAAGGTGTTCAAGTTTTTTTTGTTTTTGTTTTGTTTTTTTAAACCAAGAGTCGTACATGTTGCCGAGAAAAAGGGAGAGAGAGAAATCATGCACTCGGGTGAAACATCCAGCAGAAATCTTCTCCACCTTCTGAAGCGTCTAGTCTGCCAGCTTTTTTCACCCCTCTCCTCCAGCCTCCACATAGAGAAGCCTAATAATTCTCATTACACTCGGCATCCATCTGCATCAACAGAACTGCCTATTACTCTGTGTGTGTGTATATGCAGTAAACAGCTCTTTAGAGAGAGCTAATGAGCTCTTTTAAGTCTGTCTGCTATGTGATTCTGCAAGCGGGGTGTCAGAGCAAACTGCCCATTTCGGTAACGCCATAATTAAGCCGTATGTGTATGTGTGCGTACGCGAAAAAGACATGCTGGCACACATGTTTCCACTGCGTGCGTATACACACACGCCAAGACAAGGCG